ACCTGGAATTTAGGCCCTGTGATATGTGCATGTGTGATCCTACACTGCCATTTAAACAGTTCATTCTAAATTACAAGTTCATCTGGACTGAAAATATTGGTCGGAAGAGAAGATACAAATATAATACACACTTGCCTAATAATTCTGCACACAGTGTATACATAGGGCATTATGTTCATACTGGGCTTGGCTGTGTTGTTGAAGTCCATATATCCTCATCATCTTTAGATGGGTCAGCCAAACTCTGTTAGATGATAATAAGCAAGTGCGTATAATCAGATAGGCCTATTGATATGCGAGATACTCAAACTTACATCTCTGCTGACCCCCCAGTATGTTCCCTCACTGAATAGTCTGATATGACTCTTCATCTTCTTCCTTTAATAAATGCTTTAATTTGGGTGATGTATTCACCACTATGAAACAAAATTTGAAAAATATTAGTTCAAATAGTATAAAAGCATGAGGCTCTATTCAGGCAAGAGGATCCACTTAGACCAGTAATGGCGGTGCTCAGTGGGAAGAGACCACATATTACATGCAAAGGTCAGTGCTGATTATGTTAAAAATACTGAGGGACAAACATCAACATCACCCCCCATTCTATTCATCCATCCATCTACTGTATAATGAATATTAACCATTACCCAAAGTCTACAGTTAGACAAATGCTGGGATTAATTACCAGTATGTAGAAATATTCCTACCATTTTGAATTGTGTTTTTATAAGCCTATTTCATTCTAACTTGCTGCTAAGAGCCTTTGGTTGTAACTGGATTGCAACTGCATTAAATATATTCTCAGGTACAGTATCATAGCTGTCAAGTCTCCCGTTTTGGCCGGGAAACTACCGTATTTTACCCCTCTTTCCCGCCGTCCTCCCGTATTAGTATTTTCCCGTAAATCTCCCGTATTATAAGATCATTAAAAAAAAAATCATCTGCCTCTCTAAACTGAACTGTCAGTAGCCTCGCGAGAACTGCCACCTGCAGTAGTCTGCAGGTCATTCACAACAACAGGTCATAAATGCCGGAGGTTAAAATGGCAATGCTGTGTGCTAAAAACAACGTTACTTTCACCTTCTGTGATGACTTCAACAAGGATACAAAGTCTGCAACAAATCTGTATAATAAGTCATTAGTGAATGCCAGAGAGCCACATGAGTGAACATGAGAAATTAAGAGAAAATGTGTAATGAAAATAAAATGTAAATGATTTACGTGGTGGTTATTGTAAGTGGTTATTTTAGATTTCTTGTACACCTGTCTTAAAATGTAAGGGATACTGTAGCTTGGTTGGGATGGTGGAATGGCTCGTGGTGGGTGCCAGAAAATTTCCCTTATTTTCAAATCCAAAACTTGACAGGTATGTCAGGTATACACAGCACAATATACACAGAATGAGCCATGAACATGAAATATTCCATCTGTTATATTAGACATTGTTTTCAACCATATCAGTCTAATGAACTTTAAATAAAACTAGAATTCCGAGCAACTTTAACAGGATCTGACCACAAACAATGAATAACATTTTTTGATTCGGATCCCTCTTGTCCCCATTGCTGTCATGGTGACCTGGTACACCATAATGTCTTGGTGTGTCCAAGCTACCCCTGTCGAACTGGCCGTGTAACAACCAAATGGTTGAACAAAGAATCCAAGGGGCATCCTAAAAAGTGCAGCCTACCTTACATGATAGAGTGTATGTTCTATGCAGTTATGCATCTCCATTTCAGGCTCCTTTTTACCTTGAGATCATGATCAGACCCTTCGTTCCACTGGTTCATTGCAGGACCGAGGCATCAGTGGCTAACAGTGGCATTTCTGGCAACTTAATAGAGCAGTTAAAAGGTTATGGCTGTGATCAAAAAAGATGAGAGTGATGCTGTTTCTCTTCTCTTCACTGCCATTACATAGCTATGTAATAAATGATCCCTTTGAAATATCTGCCCCAAGTGTGAGAAGCAATAACAAAAATCAATTGACAGTGAAGCAGAGGACAAAGGAAGCCAGAGTAATGAATGTGTCGCGTTCCTCATTGGGAGCCACTTTTTTTCTGAACATTTTGACCCCATAAATTTCTCTAATTGAGCACAACTGGAAAGCAGCGTTGACCTTTAGAGACTGTGACATTATTTGTGGGGCCAAGCTTATAGCATCCTATGGCCAAAGGGAAATTAAACCAGATTTATGGGTTCGATTTAAAGATGAAAATCAGCAAGGATAAAGTTGGCACCCATATGGTGGACAGTATGTGTATATTCTATTTCGTGTCCCAAAAAGATTTCCTTCATTTATGCTTATATATAATGTTTTTGCACAACACAGGTTTTTACCACTTTCCCATTCATTTCATAAACTGCTGGTTTTTTATTGTTGATAAGTGTTGGAAAGTTGAGTGAACAACTACAAATGAAAATATATGTTAAATAAAACAAGTTTCCTTTATAACATAGAAAGAGTATGTAACAGAGCATGTCTGACTTCCTATTAACTGGTATGTGGTGATGGCAGTGTCATTCTAGGCTGTCCTTTAAATACAGTAGTAAAGAACCTATGAAGCAGAGGAACATTTAATGTCCATTGAAGAAAGAATGCCTTTAATTTTCTCTGCTGTTATAACTGCTAGAGGTGGTTACTTTGATTAATCAAATATATGACATTTTCTTGCTAATAAAGGTACTCAAATTGTGAACATACTGTAAATGTATGTATTAGCAAAGAATATTGAATGTATTTTTAGTTAATGTTAAGTGAGTAACATGCAAATGTAAAAAATCTCAGTGTGTGCAACACCGTTTGACTGGTAGTGTATATAACAAGATTTCTGTCATACATTTTAACTGTATTACCTAGTCCTGTTTTTCTGAATGGTCCTGACACAGAAAGGAGTGAATCACGCTCTGCTAATGTGACCCACTTTTGCCACTCGACATGTCATTTGTTAATGGCCAGACAACAAATGGAATTTCATAGTTTATTGGTAGTTTTTTTTTTCATATGTCATACAGTATGTGCATATATATTTACTGTAGTATTTTAATAGTTCTTTAATCATGCACAATAGACATTGAGAACACCAATTTTTCACATATTCAAATATTAATTTTGAATGGACAAAAGAACTGAATAATTGCTACTCAGTCTCCAAAAGCAAACCCAGAAATAAAATTTAATCATATAAATCATACAGCAAATAAATAAATAGGAAAAGTCATTTCATAATGATTAGAGTATGCAATACTGTTCTTATTTATAATAATATTAAAGTAACTACATACAATGCACTACTTTAAATAAAACAAAACATATTGTGGTATATTTTACATTTACTCTGATAAATTTAAACCTGAAACAAACACTACAAAATAGTCAAATGAGCCAGATGTGCGGATATCAGATGGGATAAATGACACTACAAAAAGAAGCACAAGTAATAAGTCCAATGTAGAGATTTCAAAAGGCACAGGAATGAATGTGAATATTACCAATGTGTGTTCAGAATTCTCAAGAAGAGATGCTGTGGGTTGACAAGATGGGGTGGGCCAGGAGAGTACAGAGCTGAAAAGAGCAAAACGGGATGGTTGCAGTGGGATGGGCATGCAAGGCTGGGGGAAAGAGGATATAAATGGCCTGCAACTTAAGAAGTGCATCTTGTGTGCAAGGACTCCAGTGCTAAGAAGGACCCACTAATATCACATGATCTGGCGGGGCATGCCATACCCTGTCATGCCCGACTGAGATGCTCCCTGGTTGCTGCCCATCTGAAGCCCAATGAGACTCTGGCCCCGACGGAGCTGCTCCAATGAAAACTCTCGTCTGTGTCCCTGAGCTTTCCTGTAAGCACATATGAGACAGATCAGATGACCACACAGATGGGACTGGACAAGTGAGCACCCACAGAACACAGGTGGTCAGACAGCGAGGACACACCGAAGACGTGGTCAGACAGCGAGGACACACCGAAGATGTGGTCAGACAGCGAGGACACACCAAAGACATGTGGTCAGACAGCGAGGACACACCAAAGACATGTGGTCAGACAGTGAGGACACACCGAAGACGTGGTCAGACAGTGAGGACACACCAAAGACATGTGGTCAGACAGTGAGGACACACCAAAGACATGTGGTCAGACAGTGAGGACACACCAAAGACATGTGGTCAGACAGTGAGGACAGCTGAGATTGCTTGGAAACCAGGTAATCCTCTTACTTGTGGAACCATTCACGATCACCACGGTAATGCCCATCATCCTTGGTGACAGCTACACTTCCCAGAGCCATCAGTGTCCTTTGCACAGCAGCCATGTCCTTCCCTGTAACCACAGCAACACAAGCTGCAGACCCTCAGAACACACATAGCATCGTCTGAATTGGCCAAATGCCATAAGCTTCTCCTGTAGTGATTTTTGAAAGTAGCATATGAATAAAGCAGTTCACAAGATTATGCAAAAATCAGCACACCTTCCCATAAGTCCACCGTCTGAAATATATCTGTAGTGATGACGCCGTAGGCCTCAGCTGCCTTCAGGAACTGGGAGATTTTCTCCATCTGTCTAAAGGCCATCTGAGTCTCAGGGATTTTCTTAATGGGCTCCTTACCTCTAGGGTAGAGGCTGTTAATCAGCCGGCATAGCAGCTGGAAGTGACACACAAGAAATTAGCAAAGCATACAGTAAACAGTGTAGTATTGCTAATATCACTGAGGGGTAAGAAAGACACAGAGAACTGGGATGCAGACAGAACAGCAATCCCTGTACACAGACAAAAGTGTTACAAACGTAAGTGACACAAGCAACAGTATGTGAGAGTTTGATATTGGGATGACACAACTTCACAACTTCATTATTTAAATACAAAGGTTTATGCACTGTGGAGGATTAATGAATCCAAATTAAATATTAGGAGGAGGTACACAAGTGCATAGGAGAGAGTTTGATATTGGGGGTGGGGGGGCACAAGTCCATAATTTAAATGCAAAGGTCTATTTATTAGGCAGGATGAATGGATGCTAAATGAATGAATTATAAATGTCAATAACTATGTTTCCATCCACTTTATGTGTATATTCTTAGCGACACAACAAAAATGTGCATCAAAACCTTTCCATAAAACGTTTCCATCCAGAACTGCACATTTATTGATAAAATGTATATGTTTGACCCCTCTTACTCCCACATCTGAATAACAAGTATGGCAGGACAAAATGGAGAGGATATATACAGGTCGTCCCCGGGTTAAAAGCGGCAAATTTATGGACAACTTGAACATACAAACGAACTGCCATAAATCGTATTATATTAAATATTTCAATACTATTGTTCGTAATAACGATGCAATGGTTTGTGATGCTCGTGAAAACATAGTGCAGCTTCAGCAGTTCACTGGCTCGAGGTACAGAATAGTATCTTATGTAGGCAATATTATTATTACCGTATAATTATTATTATTATTATTATTATGCACTGTATTATTTTTCCGACGTACCTACAAATTCGACTTAAAGGCAAACTTAGTGAACCGATCTCCATCGTCACCTGGGCCCAGTTGTTCAAACAATTTAATCTGGATCAAAGTCATTTGAATTTTGAAATCCCTTGTTTTGCTATCCAGGACCTGGTAATCCATTTTACTTTTACGCCAGTTTTTCAAAGCAACACTGGATTGGATCACTGTTATCCAAATACAGAATATTCAGGATTACCAAATATGTTTTACTAGTGCTTTGGAACCCACAGTGAAACTTACTGGCTATGTAAAGAACATCAAGTAAACCTAAAATACCAGTGGCCACAAACAGCAATTATGTGTTTTAATTTGAACAAGCAGGAAACACCACAATAAAACAGAGCAACCTCCGATGAGGGACATGTGGTCAGGGACACAATTGTAAGACATTAATTTTGACTGATGAATTGAGTAATAGTAATTATTGTCTTTTTCATTTTCATTCAAATACAATGGAAAGTAGAGCTTTATTTTTTGAGCTTTGAGATTTTGTTTGAGTACAGATATCTCACAGGGATTTTTTTCCCCTTGACTATACCGAAAGGCTTTATGTTTTATTTCCTACTTTATTTTCACTGCCATTTTTCTAGTTAAACAATTGTACAAAATATAAATAAATGTACACATCATCAGCAAACATTGCTTTTGTGATCAATTTTCAAGTTTTCTTTAATTATGTGCCAGAAACCCACACTGAATCCTACAGAAGAGGATTAGGGCCACTATGAAAATATTATTTGAATTCTGACTTTTTTCTCAGAATTCTGAGATTATAGTCAGAATTCAAATAATATTTTCATAGTGGCCCTAATCCTCTTCTGTAGAATCCACCCTTGTGTTGGGATCAGGATTATCCTAATTTTTGGATCAAATGTATCCCAATTCAAACACAAACTTTTGAACACAAAGTGAAGGTTTTATCCAGATTAAAACCGAGATTAATTACGTTATCTGATCTGATTTCAGAATCCCTCTTTTCCCTTTGAACAACCTATTTTCAAGATTCAATCCAATCCGTTATCCGAAATCCCACTCGATTACTTTTGAACAACTGGGCCCTGGAGACTGCCTGTACAGTGAATTAATGTGCACTGGGCATTTTTAATTATTTTATTAGCTCACTTAGTCGAAACGGTACGTGTTTACGGTTCAAAGAAAACGCCGGCGAAACAAAAAAAATATATACATTTTAGGAGGATGTAGTAGCGAACCACTTCACACCAAACTTCTGGCTTAAACATTTTAGGATGTCCCGTTCTACATTTAAAATGTAGGACCTTTTATTGGGCTAGTAATGGGCAGCCTTGGACCACCAATTCGGAAACAAAAGCGCATCTAAATTGTCTTGTAAAAACTGGCAACCTGCGCCGAATGGGGAGTAGTGGGATAAACATTAGATGAGAGCAAGACAACAGTCCACCGCTGCATCTATGTGCATGTTTGTGTTTACTGTAGGAAACGCACTGTATAAAACTCCTGTCACCTGTCAGAACTTTGGCAGGTGACAAAGTTCTTTCTCTTAAAAAATGTCACCACCGTAGTTCTTCGTTACATGACAAGTGTCGACAAAGACTTCATCCAGTAAAACTAAACGGAAAATGTGGGAAGTTTTTTAGCATGAAACAATGTTTCCATCGCCCCCATTTTAGCGTTAAAGTGTTTCTGCATTAAACATTTTAACATTTTAGCGTTAAAGTGTTAAACTGTTTCTGAATGGAAACCTGCTTAATATAAAAACACAAATTGGCCAAAGTTAGACTGATTAGTTGAAAGACTTACAGTCCCGTCCATTAGCCAGGTCTGGAAGTTGTTTTTTCCAGGCAGTGGCCGTTCCACATTACCACCACACTGCGCGACGATCCAGTCCACCAAACGCGCCTCCAGATCAGGGTCGTACTTCTGTTCGATCTTCTCCTGCACCTCGCGGCTCAGGCCGTAACTTGGACCTCGATTAGCCATCGCTGCTAATTAATGGAAATGAGTCTGGCTACTAAACGAAAAGCTCAGTGGAACATACACACGGCATGTTAAACTGCACCTTTCATTCACTCATATATAGTCGCGTATGTCTTAAATGACTCATTGAAGTGTGGGTTTCTACTGTACTGATCGGGGAAATGTAACTAGTAACAACAATAATGACATACTGTATGAAAGATATTATCTTCATACTACAATAATTCTTGGAGCCAGAAAACTTAGATGAGGATGAAAATTGTCCACCTTTTTAATGATATGATTACTTTAAAGTCATTGTTATTTCTATTATACTCATTAGGTTTACACCTAAGCACAACAGATCAATATCTATACTGGGACACAGTATAGACTTGCCATAACCTCTATTAATAATCATCTTCATGCAGAATTACAGATAAAAGAATTTACATCCAGAATAAGGGACAAAATATGGCTGACCAAGCAACAAGCAAAACGACTATACATCATTTAAATTCATATTTCCTCATATATGCCAGGAAAAGTTGTTCTGAAAAGTAGCAGGTGGATTGTGTGTATTATGTTTTTATTGTTGAAAATATACGTAGTCGTGTTTATTTTAAATGCAACATATATCGTAGTGATATTCCTATAATTAAAACGACAACGCATGCTGTGTCTTAAAGAGTTGCTTCCGCCGTGGAACAACAGTATTTCGCCTAAATACTGTTGTAAGTTGTAACTAAAACAATAATAAAGAATATTCGAATAATAATTATAGATACGGCTGTGCTAGCTACAGGCTCTTGAAATTATAGCATTAATGATTTGTTTCAATTTCACTTGTTCTCTATTTACTCAAATGTATAATCGGCAATCGTATACTTACATTAAATTCGATCTCTCTGTACCTGTTCGTCGATTATGCTGGCAATTGCTGAAAAAGCTGTACGGAGACATATAAAGCAGGGAATCCTGGGTGGGGCGAGTCGATGATCTCATAATCCCAGGCGAACAGCGCCCCGCTTGCATACGGGACAGAACGGAGCGATCTCACAAGCAGCACCGTCAAAGTCTGAAAAACCCCGAAGCTAACTCATGTTATAGTGCAACTTAATACGCTTTATCGAAATCATTGTTTGTATCGTAGTTAAAGCTAAATATAGTACATACAATACGCGTTTTAAAAGAATTGTCATATTAATAACAGATGGGATTTATCTAAAGATTAAATATCTATTTCAAGGTTTAAATGTTTACTGTCATTTGTACATAGTACAATGACATTCTTACGTATCACTGTAACAAAATCTGAAATTATTACAGTAACATACTGTTTATCAATAAAACGGTATAATACTGTAGAAAAAATGCATTCTGATGTATTGGCAATGTACTGTAATTCAGTATATGCCCTGAAAGACTAACCTACAGAATTTACTCAAATAAAATGAGGTAACAATTGAGGTTAGCACTGTTACCTCAGGGACCAGGGTTTGAGACTCTGCTATGGCTCCATGTGTGGAGTTTGCATGTTCTCCCCATGTCGCAATGGCATTTCCTCTGACAATCCAGGAATATGCCAAGGTGAATTGGATTGTAGATGTGATTGAATGCTTCATCTTGGGTTATTCCCTACCTTGTACCCATATGCACTAGACCCCCACAACCCTGAATAGGAAAATGGATGGATGGATGCAAAGAAAAACAGAATCTAAATAAACATAAGTATGTGTACTAGAGGGTAAAAACTTTAAGACAGTATTGATTAAAAATAGTCAAGGTGCCAGTGAACAAAAATTATCTGCAAAAGGGGCAAAGAGTGGATTTATGAGATAAGCGGAGATCACCACTGATTGACAGCTTTTGGGAAGAAGCTGTTTTTGAGTCTTGCGGTTTTAAGAACATAAGAACTACAAAATGAGAGGAGGCCATTCGGCCCATGGAGCTCGCTTGGGGAGAACTTAACTAATAGCTCAGAGTTGTTAAAATCTCGGATTTAAAAGAACCCAAAGATTCAGCTTGCACTATGTTATCAGGAAGAGTATTCCATACTCTAACTACACGCTGTGTAAAGAAGTGCTTCCTTAAATCCAGTTTGAAATGTTCTCCCGCTAATTTCCACCTATGGCCACGAGTTCTTGTATTTGAACTAATGCTGAAGTAACTATTCGGTTGAACAGCATATAAACCTGTTAGAATCTTATAGACCTGGATCATGTCCCCCCTCAGTCTCCTTTGCTTGAGGCTGAACAGATTTAGCTCAACTAACCATTCCTCGTATGACATTCCTCTAAGACCAGGAATCATTCTTGTGGTCCTACGCTGCACCTTTTAAGGCCGCAATGTCCTTTTTAAGATATGTTGACCAAACCTGCACACAATATTCTAGGTGAGATCTCACCAAGGAATCGTATAATCTTAGCATTACCTCCCTTGACTTAAACTCCACACACCTGGAGATATACCCCAACATCCTATTGGCCTCTTTTATTGCTTCCCTGCACTGGCGAGAATGAGACATTGTCACGGATCCGGGCGGCTCGGGCCACAGAGAACGGGCAGACAGGACTAAGACACAGAACTGGACAGGGAAACAACTTAATGAAAACTAAGGAACTGGACAGACAGAACCAAGAACTCAGACAAGAGGGGAACAAAAACAGATAGGGCAGACACCAGGAGCTGGGACAAGAAGACCAGACGAGGGAACACAATAGGGGGCAAAACTTGGGGACCAGGAACAAATGGACGCGGACACTGAAGAACAGGACCAGGGGCACGAGGCAGAAAACAAAATGGTGTAGGGGAACCGGAAGGGAAAGGAACAAAAGGAGCAGGGCGAGGGAAAGGACCAGGGACTGGGACTGAAATTGGGCAGATGAACTGAAAGGGAAGGGCAGAAATGAGACTTGTTGGGGCAGCTGGCCAGGAAACAGAAAAGGGTAGGACGTGGGCCTGGTGGCCGACTGGAGAGTGAGGAGGAAGGGACTGCAGGATGAGGACGGGAACTGAAGGACGATGACGGGACTGCAGGACTGTGGAACGACGAGAAGGGCATAGGACCGGAATGGGACCAGGAGGGCAAAGGGGTAGGGACTGGGTCTGGGCAGTTGGTCTGCCTGGCATGTCCCCGTCTCCCCTTTCGGGAGACAGAGAACCGGCCTGGCCCTCTGCTGGACCTCCACCAGCGCCATGAAAGGTTCGCTTGGGTGGAGGTAGGAGTCTGGAATTTGGGGCTTGGGGCCAGGATGGTCTTGGGCGGAGATGCAGGGGCAAAGTCAAAAGGCATGGCCCCCTGTGGACCGGGAGCGGGCGGCCGGGGCATCGCAGAAGCAGAGACTGAGGCTGCCCCCTGTGGACCGGGCGCGGGCGGCCGGGGCATCGCAGAAGCAGAGGCTGAGGCGGCCCCCTGTGGGGCGGGCGCGGGCGGCCGGGGCATCGCAGAAGCAGAGGCTGAGGCGGCCCCCTGTGGGCCGGGCGCGGGCGGCCGGGGCATCGCGGCAGCGACTTTCCCTGGGCAGGGCTCGGGCATCGCGGCAGCGGCGGCCTCCCCTGTCTCCAGTCCATCCTCCCCCTCAACAGGAGGCAGGCAGGGGAGAACTGGGCCCTTTAGAGGCAGAGGCTCCACAGCTACAACAGCTGTGGCTTTCCTCCCCTTTCTAGGCAACTTGGGGACTCGAACAATGGCATCCACAGGAGACCGGGAACATTTCAAAGCCAGACGGGTACCATAGTAGGCACTCAGAGAACGGACAGGATCAGGAACAGGTCCAGGGGGTGAGTGCTCCAACTTGAGCACTGCAGACCCAGTGGCTGGTGCTAGGGACACATATCCCAGCATGAGGGGCGTTGTGGAGCCTGGGGATCGTCCTCTTGAGTGGTTCATTCTGTCACGGATCCGGGCGGCTCGGGCACGGGAACGAGGCATGGTGCACAAAAAGGGCGGATGACCCACTTGCGGCTCCAGGAAAACAAAACAGGGTTTATTAAATAAAACAGAAAACACAAGAAAACCAATGAAACCAAAAGGACCACAAGGGGTCAAAACTAAAGGGGATAATTAAAGACTTAATATTACAAAACAAAAACTAGGAAGGGGAAAAACAGGACACAGATGTAACCAAACTAACCAAGACAAGCAATAACAGAATCATAGACAATGAACCACTGGGGAACTGAACAGAAGCAGGAACTAAAATACTAAAGGGGTAACGAGACTAACACAGGACAGGTGAGACTAATTAACAAAGACCAGGGAAACAGAGCACAGGTGAAACTAATAAACTCAAAGGAACTAAAAAACAGGGAAACTAAGAACCAACACTAGGGAACTAAACAGGTAAAGACACAAGCAGGGGCACAAGGAACAAAACCAAAACCAACTACAAAATCAGACACAAGGACTAACAAAACTCAAATGAAACACTAGGGAGCAAAATACAAAAACAGAGGAGGCGGGATTCAAACACAGGATAGAAGAGTACAC